GTCCGATATGCGCGAATATCGAAAGGAACCGAGATCGTTGGGTTATAATCATACATTTCAAGTTTAAAATAAATCGGATAAAAATTGTGACCTCTACAGTGTTCACAAGCTAAAAACGTGATTTTTCGTACAATCAGGGGCCATAATCCATGAAGTTACAGTCCGATACATGCCAATATCGAAAGGAACCGATATCTTAGGGTGATAAACCTATATTTCAAGTTTCATTGGAATCGGATAAAAATTGTGACCTGTAGACTGTTCGTCCACATGAAAATGTGGGCGTATAAAAAATGTTTGGAAAGTGATGAAAAAATGCTCGATTTTTTCTCTTTCCATGCAGAAAAACGGTCTTGCAATTAATTCCGCTTTGGTTTGCCATACTTACCAATTAAACATAGACTACATTATGCAAGAGCTAAATCTGATTATTGCAAGTCTTTATTTAGGCTTCAAGTGTCATAGAAATTATAAATTAGATCTTTATTTACACAACAAGCACAAAATCAACTCTGTAGACCCACGGAGGGCTTGGATTCAGCTTGGATTTAAACAGGATTTCGTTGACTGATTTAATTTTAAATGGCAAATCTCGACAGATTCCGTTACCCTACATCTAATCTCGGCTGTATGACAGTAAGTCTACGCCCATACATTTGCGATGCGGCTGCCAGTTTACTTTAAACAGGAAAATTGCGTCTTTGTAGAGTGTACATACCTAAATGAGCAGAGATATTGTCTCAAGGCTGCTGGTTTGATAAAATTCACTGGTAATTCCCCAAACCCAATGCCAAACGTGACGTTTGTTGATATAATACACTCTCCACAGAAATCTCCATGGGGGCAGCCATTTTTCATTCGGAACCTTAAAAATAGTTCAAATATGGCGGAAATGGTCAAACAGCCGAGATTAGATGCGTAGAATCTGTCGAGGTTTGTCGAATGCGGAGATTAACCGTTACGTTGACGTCATACTCCCGGATCGAGGCTAAATGATAGAGTGTAGGCCACAAGTTTTAGGGAAGACCCAGATTAAACGAAGGGCTGCCATGGCCGCACAATACTGGATCTTCAATGAGTTACTTTCTATTTTTCACTCGGCAACCGGCTGCAGATTTCACTCGGCCAACTTCGGTTACTCCTCTACACCAAACCATGTTTCCAAACAGAATTATCTTTCCGTGACCCGCAAATTATATTTTTAACTGGTTTGCTTTTGGCGCAATATTCTGATGTTTAGGCTAACACTGTTTTTAACGGCGTCAGCTTCTTATATTTATTGGGATACAAACACTAAACAGTTGTCTTTTATTTTCTGAGGAGATTTTCTGACCTGGGTACCGGTAATGTAAATGAAGTTTGTTACTTTATAGTAGGCTAGTATTTGACTAAAACTGCATAAATCAAATCTTAATCATAGATGTACCGATTGTAAATAATTTTTTTTGCTGACGAAGTCTTTTCTAACTTTTGGGGTAAGACTACTAACTAAGTAGCCTACATTGAAATTAGTGCTAGTACAGTAGAAGTGGTCTTGGCGTCGGGTAATCGATATGAAAACAAGTCTACATTATAATTAGGCCTAGATATCTACCTAGTCCGACTTCATTTCAAGCATTTTATTTATACCCCTTAAGTTGTAGTAGTGACAGTTTAACTACAAGTAAGTACAACAGCAAGGGGTCACAGTATCGTGACTCGTGGACTTGTCAGGAGTATAACTTGAGCCTGAGAATGATCAATGAGATACACACAAATGGATAAGTCTGATAATCAGTTAATAAATCAGATGTAACTTGTAAATAAAGGCAGTGTATGTAGGCCTACATATGATATATATTCTAAATACTAATAAATAGGCCTAGTAGTATTGTTTTATTAATATTACCTATTTATTAATTAATAGGGTTTCAGGTCAAACTCAAAGTTTCAAATGATCAAAACGCTCTATATACCAGTCAATGCGTGGGATGGCACCAAAATAAGTGCTTTTCTGTCATATTTGAGTGACGTCATGAGTCATAAGCGGTATTTTCCCTTCAGAATCGCTATACTGGCTAGGCTCTATATAGTACCAATTTTAAAACTGAATGAAATCCGCACGTTATTGTCAGCTAAGATTTATTAAAATCATAATTATATATTATAGATCTAATTTCAAATATTATACTTAACTAATAGAATCAATTAAGCTTTTACTATCTAATATGGTCGAAGCTCAGGTCCTAAAAACGCCTTTAATTTATGGTTTCTGTTATTCTTAAATAGATATTGTTAGGGACCTCATGCTGGAGGTTCGGTCGCATGATCATTTAATGTTCGAATTCTATACAAAATTGTAAAGTCTGAAGTTAGTATCAATGTAATTTGCTTATCTGGTCAACAAAGGTCCATTTACATTGATTTTGATGGAAAATTAGATCTGAATTACATATTACATATTTAAAGTTTATATTTCTTGATTATAAAGGTAGAATTTGAAATTATTTTCTCAGTGTTTTAAATGGGTTGGTTTTTTTTTTTGATGGCTTTGACCATTAAATTGAAAAAAATCAATGAAATGGACCTTTGTTGTGGTGTGGATAGGCTTGGGTGTAGGGGTGCCGGGAGCCCAAGTAGTGTCGTTAAAAAAGTATTAACATTAGTGTTACTTTACTCTTATTTTATGAAAGTTTTTTTCGCAAGTTGATTTCCTTTATTTTTTTAATGTAGAATGGTAATGAACTGCTTTTTTCCTTTTCTTTGCTTTATTTGTTCCGTTTGAATTTGATTTATCTGTTTAGTTTTTGATTGTTTAATTATTGTTTTTGTTAATTAAGTTGATTCTTTTAAACTTTGTTTTTATTTTTATACGTCCGTCGTCCACAATTTCTTGTGAACGCTCTAGAGACTAAAGTTAATATCTGATATTTACTGCCAGAGTTATAGCCCTTGATCACTTTGATAAATCTTGTGAACGCTCTAGAGGCTAAAGTTAATATCCAATGGACTCCAAATTGTTACACAGTGTGTAAGGTCATGAGACGAAGAAGCCTAATGATTTTCAGCGATATCCGATAATTACTACCAGAGTTATGGCCCTTGATCACTTTGAAAAATCTTGTGAAGACTCTAGAGGCTAAAGTTAAAATCCAATTGACTTTAAATTTATACACAGTGTTTAAGGTCATGAGACAAGACGCCTATTGATTTTCAGCGAGATCTGATGATTACTGCAAGAGTTATGGCATTGATATGTGAGAGACATCAGTTCAAAGTCGATTCTGGTTATTATAATCTAATGTATGAACTTTGTGTTGATTTTACCAGCCTGTAATTGTGGTATCATAATTAATTGTGATTTTAACATTTTTTTTAGTTAACTATATTAAATGAATTCCAAATGTACGTGTTGGCGAGGGGGTACATTAATAATTATATGTTTTTGTAGTACATGTTCCTTGTTTTATAATAAAACTACGCCCTTTCATTTTTCAGAAGAAAAGTATAGAAAATATTTCCAATTATCTATCTTGAGGTAAATCAGTTTATTATTTTCATTAACAGTTCTTATTTTTGTAAATTTTTATGTAAATCAACTACTTGTCATTGGAGTGCATCTCAAAATTCACTTTCCTTATCTACATAAAGTTTATGTAATAAGTTATAGTGTGTAAATTTGAAGTAAGTTCATATGTTTTTTTATTAATTATTTACAGATCACAGAGATTGAATGCTGCAGGTCTTGTGTTTAGTGTATAGACTAATTGGTGGATGTTATTAACATTAACCTTTTAGCAAAGGTTAGCTTGATGATGTTACTGACTTTGCAGTGTAGTGGAAGATGTTAACCTAACTTTGGTAGACAACAAGCCTAACCCTGAAGTCAACGATGTACAATATGTCAGTGTCACTGTTCCACTACCAAACGTAACGCGAATATAAACAATACTTACGGGTACATGTATTTACTTTGATTGAAATGAGGTCAACTTAAAAATTTGTGTAGATGTGTTATTTGTTGTAACAGTTATATCCATAAAAGTTATATCCATAAAATGTAAATTGTATTTTCTCTATATTAGTATAACAGGTTAAACGAAATAAGATTATTTCACTCATGACTCGTAGTCACCCACCATCGTAGAAGTGTCAACATATCGAGAACACGCATTCATGAACCATGATTAGTTGGGACAAATTAATAATGAGGAATACTGTTTTCAAAGGCCTTAAGACAGGAAAGTGGTTATTGGTCACAACATTCATGTGTCACTGCAGGGGAGGGGGTGGAGTCAAATGATAATGCATTCGTGTTGGATAATAAGGTCTGTCATTTAGTGAAGAGGCTTAGCTTCGTTTCCAAGAGTAGGGTCGACTGCATTCCCACTGTTAAGATTTCGAGAAACAGGGCCCAGATTCTCACATCAGATACTTGAACCACAGAAAAGGTTACCTTTCAGAAAATTGGCTCTGTAGCCTAAAACTGAATCACCTATATCTCGGTTCAGAGCAAAGCAATCTGACTGAAATTTCAGCATTTTCTGTTTCTATTATTTATTGTTGAACTATTATAGCGAGAACTGTCAGCTCTTATCTAATCTTACCCAATGGCGCCAATGCCCCTTTAAAATGCCCCTTATAAATCTAGTTTAAAATCCAAATATTTGTCTAAACTTTAGACAGACCTTATGATCTACTAGTATTCTCCAGTTGGTCAATTTCACTGCAAGTCAGTCAAAACGGCCAAACATGACTGGCGAAAATAAGACAAATAAGGTTGGAAGTACCTTCAAAACAAACCATGGCACTTGAATCAATGACAGACCTTATGATCTAAAGCATACATCAGACCACTCAACCACACAACTGGTAAAGACTTTAGACAAATATTTGGATTTTAAATTAGAAACAAAACCATACTGTTGAAGATGTAATTGAGACAAGACATTAGACTAGCATTTATATTTATTAGCAAAAAAAAGCCAACAATTTGATTGGTTTTAGTGCTTAGCCAATCAAAATTGAAATTTCTACTAAAATTTGGATTTGATCTTAGTTAAAATTTCCCTACTTTTAAGTTCTGGTAAAATGTCCTTATATGTCGGAAGTTCTGATTTGTCGACTAAACGAAAGCGACCAGACTGTCCACCGTTGGCTTTGAGAAATGCGACAATTTTGATCGGTGACATACTTTGCGTTACAATGGTGTACATCTGATTTCTAGTGGAATGATTTATAAAGCGAACTGGAACGGGGAGGTTATACAGTAAGCCGTTAATCTGGCGTGTGATATGATGAGGGAAAGCAGGTCCAAACAGTAGATCTTTTAGCATTTTAACTTTTATGAATTCGTCTAGTCGTGCCTGGGCAGCTTTTAAAATAAATCTATCAGCATGACGGTAATGTGGTTTTCTAGGATATTTCTTCTTAGCCTGTGAATCTGTTACTTCTTCCTTCATTTCAACATCTGTGTCACTGGTCTCAGTTTCTGAATCAGTTCCCTCAGCTGTAGTAGCTGTAACGTTTTCTCCTGCATCCTCGGCAGCTTTCTTCAACACCTCCGCTTCTTTAAGCAACGTATCAAAACTGACATATTCTATCGCTTGATCAGGTTTAGTGTAAGCAGAAACCTGGAATGAAAAACGATTTACTAAGACATGATATCTAGGTTAACTTTAAATAATGGCATTCATCAATTAAAGGTCAAATCTGTGCCTAGCCAGGAAGGCATTTTTATGTGCAATACAAGAGCAGAACGAAAACCAAGGTGGCTCAGTACATGAGGTGCCAGCTCTGTGGATAAGCCATCGGCTCAGGGGTTAAGCCACCAGCTCAGTTGGTAAGACAATGTCTCAGTGGGTAAAGACCCACCTCTGTGGGTAAACCGCTGGCTCGGTGGGTTCTGACTCGGTGTGTAGGACACTGGCTCATTGATAAGAATCTGTTTTTAATCTGGCCAATGAAGTTCCTCAGGTTTTTCCAGCCTTTTTTCGTCTTGTTGCAAGGGCAAGATGGACTGGACAAGAAAAAAGGTCCCTTGTATAGCCATTGGCAGCATGTTGACGGAACGGGAAAAAAATGCACGATACTGGACATGAGATTCTACTCCTTGTCACATACAAGCTTGGCTCAAATTGATTCAAGGACATATCTTATGATCTAAAGGGCATGCATTAGACCACTAGACCAGCCCACCCATATATCAATCTTCTGGTGTTGTCACAGGATAACCCTGCTCAAGGGACAGGAACGTTGCTTCAGTGAAAGGGTGTAGAAATGCAATGCTTGGCTAAATTGGTTTTTATACGCCCACACTGAAATGTGGACGTATATTGCCGTCGCCCCCGTCCGTCCGTCGGTCCGTCCGTCCATCGTCCACAATTTCTTGTGAACGCTCTAACGCCAAAAGTTATCATCCAATTGTTTTAAAATTGATATATGTTGTTTTCATTAGTGAGATGAAGAAGCCTATTTAATTTCAATAACTTCTGTTTATTACGTCTAGAGTTATGGCCCTTGTTTCACTTTGTTGAACCTTGTGAACGCTCTAATGCCAAAAGTTAACATACGATCTTTGTGAAATTTATATGCAATATTTATGTTAGTGAAACGAAGAAGCCTATTGAATTTCAACAATTTCTGTTTATTACGTCTAGAGTTATGGCCCTTGTTTCACTTTATTGAACCTTGTGAACGCTCAAACGACAAAAGTTATCAACCGATCTGTATGAAATTTATATGCATCATTTAAATTAGTAAAACAAAGAAGCCTATTGAATTTCAGCAATTTCCGTTAATCATCTAGAGTTATGGCCCTTGTTTCACTTTGTTGAATCTTGTGAATGCTCTAATGACAACAGTTATCATCCGATCTGTTTGAAATTGATATGCATGATTTAAATTAGTGAAACGAAGAATCCCATTGAAGTTCAGCAATTTCCTTTAATTACGCCATGAGTTATGGCCCTTGTTTCACTTTGTTGTACCTTGTGGTTGCTTTAACGACAAAAGTTATTATACGATCTGTATGAAATTTAAAGGTATCGTTTAAATTAGTAAAACGAACAAGCCTATTGAGTTTCAGCAAATTTCCGTTAATTACATCTAGAGTTATGGCCCTTGTTTCACATTGTTGAATCTTGTGAACGCTTGAACGACAAAAGTTATCACCCAATCTGTATGAAATTCATATGCATCATTTAAATTAGTGAAATGAAGAAGCCTATTGAATGTCAGCAATTTCTGTCAATTACTTCTAGAGTTATGGCCCTTGTTCTACTTTGTTGAATCTTGTGAACGTTCGAACGACAAAAGTTATCATCCGATCTGTATGAAATTGATATGTATTATTTGAATTAGTAAAACGAAAAAGTCTGTCGAATTTCAATAATTTCTGTAGATTACTTCCTGAGTTACAGCCCTTGTTTTAGTTTTTAGAACCTTGTGAACCCTCAAACGACGAAAATTATAATGTCATCTGTATGAAGTTGTCTATTAAATGCCCCCTAATTACCTACAAAAGAACAAATATACGACAACTCTTGTCGACCGCTCGGACGATTTAGCTGCTGTGGGCGTATGTTTAGTTGCCTGGCAACCTATCTTTATATAATGTAGGCCCTATTTAGCTCAGGAATCCATAGCCCTAAAGCTAATTCAAGTATTCAATAGAATAACTTACCTCTATGACTGGTTGTGTTTCGTAGAGCTTAAACAAGATATCAGCTGCTGCAAAATTTCTAGAGCCTATCTTACTAAGAGACACTGCAGGTTCGGTTCCAACATCTTCCTTCTGTATCTTCATCTGACATCTTAAAGTAAAAAAAGAGAGAAATGGGGATTAACACTCACACAAAACAAACCAACATTTTTGGACTGACACCCAGGAGGTTTGACTCAATGAAAGATCTTATGAGCTTGGACCACTCAACCACCCCTAAAAACAAAAGAAGAGTAACAAGCAAACTGAACATTTCAAAATTTTGATCAATGGGACAAGACTAGATCTTAAAGCTACAATTTCATATTTGTTAAGTTATATTTTTAAAATTTATTAAAATAAAGCCTTAAAATAGATGGTATCCATACACAGTCCTACCTTGTTAAAGAATAATCCTATTAATCCTATAATTCACTATTGCCAGCTGCGAAATTGCCAAAATTATCATTTTCGAATTCCAACATTTGAAGATAGCTAATGCATGGAGGCAATAGGAAAACAAGGGAGGTAATTGTGTTATTATTTCCTGTGTCAATGATTTTTAAGGGTGGGAAATAATGCCCATAGTTGTATAATAGTGAGTTGATAACCTATTGAGCAAAAGACATAGAAATAATTATGTTTTGACTTTCATAGAAAATATGAAATTCTGGCTTGAAGGCTAAGGCCAGGAAACACAGCCTAGGTCTTACAGTTAAGGCCGGAAGACGCAAGACTACAGTAGGTCTTAAGAGATTCAAGACTAGGTCTTAAGAGACACAAGACTAGGCCTTACAGTTGAGGCCAGAAGATACAAGACTAAGCCTTACAGTTGAGACCGGAAGACACAAGACTAGGCCTTAAGATTATGGCCGGGAGACCAGACTAGGCCTTAAGGCAACTTACCTGAATACACGATCATCATTGTCAAAAAACTCCCATTCCAACAACATATTGTTGACAAAACATGAATGTTGTAAAATATAGAAACCTTGAACTTTACGATCTACTATCCAACTGACGTCCTCAAAGACAACGATATCCTTGGCTGGTAGTGTTGATATAGGTTTTCGGGTCCATTGTAAGCGATGAAGATTCGAACAGTTATCTTCCAAAATGCAGTTGCCCTTGACACGAAAGTCGATAACATCTGTTGCTGCTTGGTCGTGTGGTTGAAGTTTACTGTGTTGGGGGAGGATGAACTCGGGGTCACAGTTCGTGAAACCTATCGGGCTTTAGAGTAAGCGTCTGCTTGGGCATCTGTTCGGTTCTCTGCTTCACCAATCATGATGAGATGACCAGCTAGATAGAGGTTACAGAAAATTTTCTCCTTTTCTATTTCTGTGTTCATGCTACGACGGTACAGACAAATGGGCGTCAATTTTACATCGTTGAAAATTCCATCCAAGACAGTAATGATGGATGCAGGATGCGTGGCACTGCTAAGTTCGTTCATTTTGACAAACTGTTCACGGAGATCAAATGCCCTAGGATTTGGTGCTGCCTTTACCAAAGTGCTCTGAACCTGTGCTTCTGCTTCTGTTATGACAGACTGTTCGACACCATCTAAGATGTTGCCATGTTCAACATTCATGGTGGTCAGTCGTTCAACCACCATATTATAACACAATGACTTAGCAGTTTTTTTGGAAACTGAAACACCTGCACCTTGTAGTATGTTGTCAATAAAGTACATTCCCTTATGATAAACTTTCCCTGATTCAGCTTTACAACTCTCTACATCATATCGACAACGGACTCGACATTTAGCCACAGAGGCCGCCAACTCCATTTTGCTGACTGAATTGGTTGAAGCATATTTAGGATTGGTTAGAATATCTTGGATCTGTTTCAAAATAGATGGTGGGGGTAACTCTGCAATTGTTTCTTTCTCCATCTTAGCAACGGTCGAGTTAAAATTCTCCAGTTTCTCCTTGATAACTTTTGGGGTCATATCATCCTGGTTCAAAATTTCAGTGACAGGAAGGGTACGATAAAGTTCCACCGCCTTCTTGAAACATGACAGTTTGATTTCTTTCTTGTTGATGCCGATAGCTCTGGCTAGGAACACACCACCCAGATTAAGTCGGCCAGTGAAAAAGGATCCGTTCTTTCCTTGTACCATGCCATCGATCAAAAAATCTGGTCTAATTCCAACTTTACAACTCATCAGAGAATTCTCAAACAACTAAAATGAAATAAAATAGGATTTAATGGGAAAGAGAGGAAAATGGGCTTTATTGTTCACTCGACACTAGGTCATTTCGGGACTAACATATAGTTCATTTTATTTCATTAGGGGTCTTTAGCAGTGGAAGGAAACCCTGAGGACATGGAGAAAACGCACGAGGTTGAACAGACGACCCTACTCCTTGTCACGTACAAGCGGGTAATGACGCATTAACGCTTCGACCACCCAAACTCGCCCAACTGGTCTTATGTAGATGGGCAAATAAAAGAATTTTATACGTAATACATGCTTGAATAAAAATAAAAATAAAGCAGAATCTGTGTTTTTAATGAGATTATTGTGAAAAATATTAAACATGCATTATGCAAGAGCTAAACCTGTCAATTTCAGGTCTTTCTTTAGGCCTGAAATCTTATCTAAATTATTAATTAGACATTAATTAACTTATCCAGACCATAATAAACTCCCGATGTCAAGGCTAGCCTTCGATGTCGACTGGATTACAATTCTATATGCTGCTATCGCTCATTGATAATTAAATCACAACAATAGACAATCGAGACTATTAGTTTCGAGGCTAGGCGAAACTTTCATCCGCTTAGTTTTCGGTTCATAGTGGACCAATTTGACTGACATTTTCAGCAAATTCCCTTTACATTATGTAGTTTTTAACTATTATAGTGAGAACTGCTAACTCGTTATCTTATCTCCATCTCCCATAATGTATCTTTAATAAATAAAACCTCACCATAATTTCATTGATTACTTTTTTTTCACTTCGTAAAAACATTGAAAGTCGTCGAATTTTTTCTGCTAGCGGCAATTTTGTGGCATCGATTGGTTCTGGGTTGGGTGTTTTGTGTACAGCGGCAGCAGGCAGACCTTTGTTATCAATGGGGCGTGTCTGGCAGCCTGGTAATGTTTCCCATTTCTTCTCTGTAAATAAACCATTAAAAAATGTAGTTTGTTAAAGCTGCATTTAGTAACTGTATTGAATAAACCATGACTAATATACCGGTGTATTAAATACAAGTTTTTTCACAGTTCATTTCTGACGACGTCTTGAAAAGTGTTCTCTTGTATTTATCAAGCCACAAACAAAATAAACTTCTAAATAACTTGTATTCTGAATATTGTTTAGTGCCCAGGTTCACTTTGCTCATTTCTGTTGATCAGCGGCTGGGGAGGGGGGGGGGGGAATAGGTTTTACATTTAGATTCAGAACGAACATGATTCTTCTACAGCCATCCTTTTTTACAGTGGTTACAACTTAAACATACAGGTTTCAAGTTTAACTGACTACCATGACTAGAGAATAGAATAACGTGATTTATCAACGAATTAACAGAATTTTAAAACAAAATTAAAAGCTTTTGAGCAGTAGTACGGTAAAAATTATGTGTGTCAAAAAGATAAGCACCACCGTTTAAAATGAGGTCTGTTTGATATTTAACCATCAACAATAAATTCAGATGGTTTTTATTTGGAACCATGTAATATCCATCACAAAATACTTCCAGCATAAGTCTTGCCACTCCAAGAAGAATAGTGTCAGGTTCCTTTGGTACCATGGTACTAATCAAACAAGAGGTGTTGAGGACGTGATCCAAGTGAGAGAGGGGGGGGGGTTGGATGGCTGAATGGTTAGCGTGCGCGCGCTGTATCATAAAGTCTGTCATTGAGTCAACTGGCGTGGTTTCGAATCCCCGGTTGTACGTGACAAGGAGTAGGGTCGCCTGTCCAACCTCGTGGGTTTCCTCCGGGTCCTCCGGTTTCCTCCCACAGCTAAAGATCCCTACGCGCAAGCGAATTATGGAAATAAAATTGAACCATATGTTAGTCGAGTGGACGTTAAACCCCATTTCTCTCTCTCTCTCCAAGTGAGAGAGGGATACACATGACGATGGTTATCACTACTCTTGTCTGTAATCCTCATCCTTTTCCTGACCAGATCATCTAATGGACTCCTATATTTTTCGAAATCCTCAATTAAAAAATATCTATTACTTAAATGACCAAATATTCCTGTCTTGTTTTACTTTAAGGTGGTCCTTAACCTTTTGTCAGTTGTATTTATTTTTATAACTTACTTGCACCACCGGCACTGTTTGCGGGAGTTCCAACACCTCCTATAGAATTCAACTCATTGTTAAAAATATAATTTGCGGGTCACGGAAAGATAACTCTGTTTGGAAACATGGTTTGGTGTAGAGGAGTAACCGAAGTTGGCCGAGTGAAATCTGCAGCCGGTTGCCGAGTGAAAAATAGAAAGTAACTCATTGAAGATCCAGTATTGTGCGCCATGGCCAGAAGATGGATTTGTTGGGCCATTGCTTCAGGAATGTGGCTTCAATCACTTGCTAGAAATATTCAGCATAAACCTCGCGTACATCAGATTTTTCGAAACGATCCATATCATGAATAACCAATCTTAACAAAATCGCCGATCGGTCGTCAAACGTGATGAAGATATCAGGACATAGTCATATTATCTTTGCCAATTTATGTATACAGTTATCATGCAAGATATGCCCACATTTTGCAAGAGACGGGCAGAGAACAAGCTAAAAAAAAATTGTTTTTTTGTAGAATCAGGGGCCAAAATCCAGAATGTTACGGTCCGATATACACGAATATCGTAAGAAACCCAGATCTTTTGGATATAAACATATATAGCATAAAAATTGTGACCTCTAGAGGGTTCACAACCATGATATACCATATTTTTTATACTATTTGTGTAGCAGTTTCGGTTGGATTTTTACGAAATTCAAACTCAACCTTTACTGGGTTGTAACTGTGATATATTTAAATGGTTTTTAAAACTGAATACAAATTTTGACCTCAAAATCCAAGTCCATTTAGTGGTCATAATCCAGGAATTTAAAATCCGGCATGTGCAAATATCGAAAGGATTATAAACATACATTTCAAGTTTCATAAAAAAAATTCTGAACTCTACTAACAGTGTCCACAAGCTAAAAATGTCATTTTTCATACAATCAGGGGCCATAATCCATCAAGTTACAGTTTGATACATGCCAATATCTAAAGAAAACCGAGATCTTTGAGATATAAACCTATAATTCAAGTTTTATCAAATTCAGATAAGAATTGTGACTTGTACAATGTCCACAAACAAATTGTGGCCAGCCGGCCGTTCAGACGGACGGACTAGGGCGACGACAATATATGTATGTCCACATGAAAATGTGGGCGTATAAAAACCAGAATAAGAATTTGAACAAAAATAAGGACTTTTCTCTCTAATGATGTGTTAAACCACAATAGAGAATATTTTAATGTTATTTTATTTATTGATACTGTATGAAATTTGTTTATGATATAATGCATATATACACTGTAAATTCTGTAATGAACATGCTTAACATATAAAAGCTTTCAGCTTGTTTTGTTATCATATTTTAGTAATGATGAATTGGATATGACCAAATATTGTTTAACTAATTTATGATAACATAACCTTTAATATTGACATGATGATTTAACCAAAAGTTGACATACAATTTACAAATGAAGAGCCACAAGGAAGAACGATCTAAGTAACTTTTTCAACGAACCCCAGTTATTGACACCATCTGGTAGCAAATTGTATCAGCTTTCTGTGGAATAATCAATTTCAGGTAAATACGATCAGAGTCACATCGAACCAAGGCCCTTCTGAAATGGCCTCCCGGACAAATACATCCATCGTACCCTTTATTTGACCTTAATTTGGCTGAAAAGTGGAAGTCAGTTGTTGTACTGGTAATTATGATTCGTATTAAACATCATTTTGAAGTTGTACTTAAACCCACTCGTTGTTCTGTTCGCGTCAAGCATTCTCGTCCAAAAGTCTGTTTTGCCTTTTATGCGAAAAGACAAAAATGTGACTTAGATCATTCTTCCTCTTCCAAATGAATAAATTTTATTTTTAAATTTAAACTACTAAGAAATTTTTACATATCTTAAAATTGTAAAAAAAACTTGTTTCATTCAAAAATTTCAAACAATCTTGGATTCTGAACAATTTGCAAAATTAAAAAGATTTGTTTCTGTTTGTAGTTTGTACTAAAACTCTTGAAGATTTATAAGCACATGTCTGTATAAAATGTATTACATTACAGCTAGCCTATTAGCCTTGATGACTAAAAGCAGTATGAATCTCACTTCCGAATTTATATCGATTCCCCCCCCCCCCCAACCATCAATTTTGTGTAAAACACATGAATTAATTTTTAGGCATATTAAATGTCTAAACAAATAGTATTATAGCTTCGTCTACACTAGGCTTGAAAAAGCCGGCTTTTTAAAAACCCGGTTTTTTCAAAACCCGGCTTTTTCAAGTGTAGCGTCTACACTGACTGAACGGAAAAAGACAATGAACACCGACCTTCGTTATTTGTGGAACTTCCGGTTTATTTATTACGCCATCGGCTTCAGTCAATTTTGCAGAGATAATAATATAATAATAATGATTACTTTGGTTACTTTGGTGCAATTATATATCCAGCTTATGGAATATAGCAGATCGCTGACAGACTTACGGAAGAGGGCGAGAAAACGACGTGCAAGACGATTGCGATTGTATATCCGTCGAAGACACTTTCGACTAACACCCTTCATGGCTATGATCGCGAGTTTACCTGATGGCAGAGCTGGGAGAATATGGAAATACCCTACTTCCTCGGATTTATGGGATAATTATATGAACAACTGGTCTGACAGAAAGTGGTTAGAAAACTTCCGTGTGGGAAAGAGAACATTTTAGGTACCGTACATGTGTAACTTTTTCAAAATTTCAATCCAGCTGGCGTAGCCTATATCTAGTATCTAATGCCATAGTTTTACAGGTACTGATAGTGATTACATCATTACTGTAGTAATACTAATTAATAGGCTTATACTATATATAGTAAAAATAATACTGCAGAAAATAGCATGGCTGACACTTGACTGCCTTAGAACCGGAAGCAATGCCAATGTTATGAATGTACGGAAGCTCGGGACGAATGACATCCGGGTACTTGATAAATCCCGGATTTACCGTCTACACACATAAAATTGCCGGTTTTTTGAAAAAGCCGGCTTTTTGATTTTGAAAAATCCCTCAATAATTGCCGGATTTTAAAAAGCCGGCTTTTACGATTGAGAAATTGAAAAAGCCGGCTTTTAGGAAAAAACCGGGATTTAAAAGGCTAGTGTAGACGGTGAATGCTGCTAGTGTAGACGTAGCTTATACTTATTCTAAAGGGTCTTGAAAATCAAGAATTAACAGATTCAGGCCAAATGAATGGGTTTTAAATATTTTTAGGCACATTTTATTGACATAGGGATTCTGTTTTAACAATATATGCTGGACATGTCTGATTGTGAATATTGTCACTGTAATTCAAAGTTTGAAGTACAGTGACAAAATATACATAAATATTTGAAAACGTAAAAATCAGGGTTTCCACAGTTTTAACAATCCATCTTCAGAATATGTAGCTATTAAATTTTGATGTGGATGATGAGATATACCTATTACATCTTTTTCATGAACCTGAAAATAGAAAGAGCAACATTGTTAAACAAATATCAACACTATCTGCAGGCATAAAGTTTTTATGGGTAATAAGCAAGTTTAGAATTAACTTTAGTGTGAACATTGTCTTGCGCTCCATAACAATTTTTCAGTTGCCTTTGAACGGTCACTTCCTTACAAATACCAACCATGTGTTAAGTAGTTTGGTTATTAATAATCATTAAGACTTACAGTTAATGTTCTTTCTAATTTTCCTGTTGATATACTAAAACAATATAACACCATATCTTCTCCTGTGCAATAGATCCATTCACCTCTTGGCGATACTGTTGCACATACAAAATCCCCTCCTTCACGCTTACCACTAGAAAAACTCCTAACAATCTAAAATACAACACAATACACATTACATAATGTTAGGTTGGTGTTTGTGTTCAAATTAAAAACTGATCTAAATCATCATTTTGCGAATATAATTAATTTCACAATTACCAAATATTTTCTACAAAAATTGTCTGCTCATTATCCCATTTTTGTTGCTTCTGTCAAAGTCAAACATTTTTTTCTCAAATTTGAAAGAGGCAAAAAATACCCCAATTGCCTATTCACGACTTAAATTTTGACACACCATATTCTCAAGCAGACCTAAGAACAGCTTTGTTTTCAACATTCTTAAAGTTCAGTAATTTTCGCTTGCAAATGTTGATCCATACAGCATTTGATTCCAGCATCTCAAAATATGATTTGGATATATATGTTTAACATGTAACTTACCTGCCCCTGTATGTTCATTAAGACAACTGTATTAGATCTATTACATACTACAAACTGTTCAGCATTTCTAACTAATGGATGTATACTATGTACAGTTATATCTGTACTAGATGTTCCACCTAATGATTTAAACGTACTCTGACATTCTGTTGTTTTTATATTCCAGATCTTTATAGTACCATCTGAACTAGCACTGTCAAATAAATATATATTTTAATCCAAAATCTTACCAAATTATAGTTTTAACAAGCCAACAGTGATGTCCCCTGCCGAAATCCCAAAATAAATAGATGACACATATTAAATAATCGCACATTTATTTTTCTCAAAAGTATCAAGCAATCAAACTGATTATTAACTATACACTAAGTTTCATCACTCTCTATCAGATAGAATCAAAGTTATCTTGTCCCAAATCAGCGACTAATGAAATTGCCTAGCTCACCTTAGCTTTAGCTTGAAATGTTAATCATTGAACTCAGTCAAGACATTCACCTAATGAACATTAGGGCCCGGTTCCTAGAAAATTCTTAAAGTAAGCACAAAGTCATGCTTCACTTTTTCTTACGTAAGAAACTTATAAAAATACCGTCCCTAGAAAATTCTCAAGACCATTCTTAAGTAAGCACAAGTCAAGTACAAGTCTAAGCACATTGTGACTGGTAAAGTTTACCATAAACTGAGACTACGATGCTCTTTAACGTCACAAAAACAACTTTGGTATGCGAATTACGTCATAAATTTGTCGTCTGCTTCATTGACGTCATATATATATTATGGTTGATGTGTCCCCTATAAACATATAAAATGTGCCACAAGATAAAAAAACGCAGACACATACAAACTAACTGAATAATTGTGAGAGCGCCTGATCTTAAGTAGCCCGTGTGTTTGTAGTCTATTGTTTACTAATTGGCAAATAAATAAAATGGTTTCATGGTAGAAGCGAAATTTTCTAAAGTCCTAGTATTCTTAATTTCTTCTGGAGAAGGATTTTCTCTGTCTTGTAATTGTCTCTTTGGTATCAAAAGGTGTCGGAAATGCTGTCGAATAACTCTACGGTCAGCCATCTTTTTGAAGTGGAAACAGACTTAAGGTTGGTAAGCAAGCCGTATACCTTGCTTGGGACTTGTGCTGAGATTGACTATATTTAAGAACGAATTTGTGCTTAAGTTTTTTCTTGGAACGCATAATAACGTTCTTGTGCTTACAATGAAGTCTACTTAAAATCTAAGCACAAGAACGTTCTTAAGAATTTTCTGGGAACACAAAGTAAGGTAAGTTTACTTAAATGCAAAGTCTATTTAAATCTAAGCACAAGAACGTGCTTAAGAATTTTCTAGGAATCGGGCCCAGGGCTCACACTGGCTTTCAATTTTTTTCCGCCAAAATGGATGATAATTTTTATATAAAACCATATAAATATACAGAAACAAATCTTTTTAATTTTGCAAATTGTTCAGAATCCAAGATTGTTAGAAATTTTTGAATTAAACAAGTTTTTTACGATTTTAAGATATGTAAAAATTTCTTAGTAGTTTAAATTTTGAAAATAAAATTTATTCATTTGGAAGAGGAAGAATGATCTAAGTCACATTTTTGTCTTTTCGCATAAAAGGCAATACAGACTTTTGGACGAGAATGCTTGACGTGAACAAAACAACGAGTGGGTTTAATTACAACTTCAAAATGATGTTTAATACGAATCATAATTACCAGTTCAACAACTGACTTCCACTTTTCAGCCAAATTAAGATCAAATAAACGGTACGATGGACGTATTTGTCTGGGAGGCCATTTCAGAGATAGAATGAAAGCGTGTGGACTACTGCCGATCCGTACTGTTTCAAATTCCTCCAAAATTACTGTATTTTTCGGGTCATAAGTCGATAATTTTTCAACAGAAGTCCAGTATTCGTCTTATACTGCATTTCGACTTATATACGGAGGGTAAAAAATGACACCCCAAAATTTATTTGGCAGTAAACGTGGCTCTACCACAACGAGCGAGTAACACCATCTGCTAAATAATCGCATTCGACTCGAGCACGCGCTATCGTCTAAAACAATTAAGTACTTACACTATTCCAATCAACATATTCGTCAACATTGCCTAGCGTACTTATTTCTTTATTTAAAATATGATCATAAATCTGAGAATATGCCATCAAAATAGAATCTTTTCTTCAACATTAGACACGTGAAATTTGTCACGTATTCATTTCATAGTTTCACGCGTCTCGCGAGATTTCTACTTACGTTTCAGTTATCATACTATAACCGCCACTCGGCAAACCTCCTCAGCAGATTCCAGTACCCTACATCTAGCCTCGGCTGTATGACGAAGTCCTCCATTGGAACTACTTTCAAGTTCCCGGATTACCAACGGCGTTGCTCATGACGACACCTTAGAAGAATGTTTTTTTATACAAATATTTCAAGTTTATCAGATTTTCTTCAAACAAGGACAAATTTGCTCTGAAAATTCTAAACACGCTTCGAACGACGTAATTTTGATAACTTCTTTTTAAAATCGGCAAATTTTCCTAATAAGTAAACCGGTGCCGCATCGCAATTGTATAGGCGTAGGTACATATCACTTACCGTCATACAGCTGAGGCTCGTTGTAGAGTAACGGAATCTGCCGAGGTTTGCCGAGTGCAACCGCGTGCGATCAAAAATAGAGTTAGCAATGTCTAGTATTTTTCGGATATGTGTGTGTGTGTGAAATAGCTTTATATAACGCTCGCTTCCACCGAAGTGATATCGCAGAGGAGTTATCGGATACATACTGATTTGGGGTGTTATGTACAATTAGGATATGTGACATATATGATTAATTTCTACGTGCTGTCGGCCGACATCAAGGAGATTAAAATTTAAAACACCCGACAATGGCCGGGGAAATCATGGGTCAATCACGTAGATTAAGTTTATAATCACTCTTATTGGATTGATACATATCCCGACAAAGGAGAAGCAATGACTTCTGTTCAGGATTGGATTGACGAAATAGGATGTCCGATAAAGGATTAAGGCAGATTAACTAGTTAATCAAGGTAGGTGTATAGGCAGTATCAGATGAAAATTGTGACTTCTAAAGTGTCCATAAGCTGAAAACGTGATTTTTCGATCAATCAGGGGCCATAATTCATGAAGTTTCGATCTGATATATGCCAATATCGAAAATGAAATGAAATGAAATGGGGTTTAACGTCCTACTCTTCTGCACCTAACCTGGGCTAATTGAAGACGGGCATACGCCATACAGTGTGCTATGAGGGAAATTTTGCCCGGGCAGCGGCGCTATGGCCTACTCTTATATCGAATTCCAATTGTCAAGGGATCTTTTAAGTGCACGCCAATGTCTACACTGGACCTCGGTTTTTCGTCCCATCCGAACAACTAGGCAGCTGTCCTTGTCAGGCCCTCCGTTCTGCATCACTGACAAGGGGAAACCACGCCGGAAAATCGAGATGAACTTTCTCGGCCAATGCAGGGATCGAACACCCGACCTCCAGGCTAGCGAGCCAGCGCCTTACCCACTTAGCCACGTGATGCCCCCAATATCGAAAAGTACCGAGATCTTTTGGAGATAAACCTATAAAACACCATTTCCGTACAATCAGGGGGCCATAATTCAAGTAGTTATGGTCCGCTATGCGCGAATATCAAAAGGAACCAAGATCTTTGGGTTATAAACATGCATTTCAAATTTCGTCAAAATCAGATCAAAATTGTGACCTCTAGAGGGTCCACAACCTTGATATACCAGATGTTTACACTATTTGCGTACAAGGAGCGGCCATTTTGTCTGTCAGTTTTGGCCCGATTTTCATGAAATTCGACCTCAACCGGCATTACGGTGTAACGATGATATATTCGTAAGGTTTTTTTTAAATCGGACAAGCTAAAAACAGGATTTTTAGTACTATCAGGGGCCATGATTTAGGAAGTTACGATCCGATATGCGCAAATATCGAAAGGAACCAAGATCTTTGGGATATAAACATGTATTTCAAAAATCATCAAAATTGGATCAAAATCGTGACCTCTAGAGTGTCCACAAGCTAAAAACGTGATTTTCCGTACAATCAGGGGTCATAATCAAGAAATTATGGTCCGATACATATACATGCCAATATCGAAAGGAACCAAGATATTTGGGAGATAGACCTATATTTCAAGTTTCGTCAAAATCGGATAAAATTTGTGACCTGTAGAGTATTCAAAAAAAAATTGTGGATGGATGGACAGAGGCGACGGCATAATACGTCCACGAGTAAATGTGGGCGTATAAAAAGAAAGAAATATAGAGAGAGTTTAACATCCTCTCAGCCCAAACTATAAGGGGGGGGGGGAGACTGGAATTGGCATACCTTTAATTTAATAATTTGCATGTGCACAGAGGTCTTTAGTAGTAGGATAAAATTTGAGAAAACCTATCTATAAGGTTCCACATGCAACCCTACTACATTTCCCTACATAATCATGTACATATACACTGTCTGGCCTACCAAATTTCATATTTCTATTTTTTGTGATGATTTTATTTAACAACCGATATTACTGTCTACTGGAATTGCTATAAACGTGTGTCCCTATATTTTCCAATATTAAGATCAGTAGAAGAAATAAGTCTTGGGAATAATTTATAAAAAATACCTTATAACAAGATGTCCATCTGGAGTAAAAACTGCATCATTAACAAACGATGTATGACCTCGGAATTCTTTTAGTGTCTTTCCTGATTTTAAACCATTCATTCTGTATGTGTAAAAATCATATGTTACATACTTTTATATCAAATACAATATCTAAAACAACAAAGTTTGTTTTATGTAAAGCCAAGCAATTTCTACACCAGTTTTGCAGAAATAAGAACAAACACACAATAATTTTTTTTAATTTAAAATAATGCACTGTAGATTAACTATATGACACAAGGTAGACTTTCACATAAAAGGACTCCCCTCAAAGAAAATAATTCTGGAAAAATATACCAGTAACGAAAAATACTGTCAGTATCGACAATCAACTTGCTTGTAGGCTACAATAACAGTCATACCGTAGTAAGAATCTGCCATCTGGTTCATAATCCAAATAATTACCACATTTAATAGTAATTTTGATAAAGCTTGCTGGTTATTCATAACAGGTCCATTAAATTTGGTACAAATTAAAATAATTGGATCATACATTTTATTGTTCCACTGACCAGTTGTTACTTAATTTAAATAGTTACTGAATAATCCCCTGATAGAACACAGAATATCCAGAGAAACAGACATTAATAATATATTTTTCCGTCAGGATATCCAAGGTGTTCAAATTCCCAATAACATATGACATGCATCGGTTGGAATTAGGTCAATAAAGCAACATTGCTATATTTAGTTTTAAATTGCGTTTATATACACATTCTAACAGGGAGTTATTTTTATTGTCTTTATTATTTATGGCTATGGCATAGTCGTACGGAATTTTATTTTATATCAAGCAATTTCAATTATGGTTGTGCCGCTTGTCTATCATCCACACATTAATAAAAACTTTGCAAGTTATATCACGTATATTAGCCTATCCAGAATACGACATTCTCCATAACAAATTACCAAGAATTATTTTTGTTATGTCTGGTTATAAATTCAAGTTAACAGGAGTTTAAAGGCCAAATTACCCTTTTTATTACCGGGACCTCATTTCACCCAATTCAGGCCGGTTGGTTTCAAATTGAATTAAAATCCATAATCTTATCACAAATGCTAAAAAAGCTCTCCTCAAGAGATTCAGGATAGCTTTCTCAGGAGAACGATTTACTGTTTTTCCCATTTCAGGAGAGGTTGTTTTTTTTACTCTCCAGCAATTTATTCACGTGAAGGCCTGACAAGGAAATAAAACATGGAAATGAAATCAACTTGGTTTATCATTAATTATGTCATGAAATACACACAATCCCCAGCTATTCACAATTTTTACAACAATTGTTTAAAAATAATCTAAGAAGCACAAAATCTTACCGTATTGTTTGATCAAAAGAGGCACTGAGTAACTGACTGTTGTCTTTAGCAAAATATAGAGATGTAATACCTTTACTGTGAGCTCTTTCAAATTTACGCAAACATTGTCCAGTGAGAATTTTCCAAACCTGAAATTTTTTATCTTATATTACACTCAGATGTAGAAAAGATCTAAACTAGTTAAAAAGACTGAAAAATAGCAAGAAATGATAGTATCTTTGGAATTGTTTGAACATAGAGGAGGAAGTATGTCAAAACATTCTGAAATAAAAGAGAAACTGACACATTGATTTTTATGTACTATTAAAGGGCAGATATACAGCTAGTAAAGATTGTTGATATATTTAAACCGGATATCTTTTTTATGAATTTATGTGCCGTAAATGTAAAGTTCTTGTACTTTTTCTGCTTAAAACTGTATTATTATGTGGCTAGATTGAATTAAATGGCAAATATACCTATCTACAATCTATAGTCAAAGGCTACAGAACTAGAGCACTTCCATTAAAATAAGCAAACTCATGTGAACAGAAAGTTGTATTACACAGCTAGATGTCAGCACAATTTATATTTAATATTTAAAGATGGGTTCCCGGAAAAGTATTTATCGGGTGGTTATTTCCAATAAAAGTATGGCAATTTTGGTATATATGGAAAGTAGAGATATCCAATCTTACTAGAAAAATACTGGATTCCCCGAAAAACACTCATGGAGCGTATACAGGACAAAAACGTAAGGGTTTCCCTAATCAACAGCCCGACGATTATAAACTTCTGCACGCGTGGTGTCAAAGGTCACAAGCGAACATTGTACAAGTTGATAAACTTTATGAAGAGTTAGAAGTACAACACTTTCTGAGATAAAAATGACGGAAAAAGACGTGGGTAGTGGATAATCCGAGAATGTAATTAGGATTCGATATTTGTAATAAATAGTAAGCGATTAAAGACAGCATCATCTTATGTATGCAGTGGATTCTCCTCTGACTTCCAAGACGTGACGTAAACATGACCTGGTTTGATTGAATTTTAATAGCGGGGCATTCCTTCGCGATTACAATGTTTGAGAAGGATTTGAAGCATAATTATGACAAATTAATTAGTTTGAATATGTTTTTGGTCCATAAATACCATTAAATCACCCAGTTTGCACGTGGGAACCCATCTTTAACTAAATTTACCTTTATTTTTCCATCTTGAGCACCAGTGGCTAACATTTCTGAATCTCTACTAAAGCTCATACATAACACAGCATCATCCATCATCATAAAATTATCCTGGAAATATAATCAAGTTCAAAACATTATATAAACAATTGAATATATAGCAGGATTTAATGAATTTAATTTACAGAATTTGGAAAATACCCAAAATATGTTCAGGTTTGATTAAAGAATTTCATAAAAATGTATATTTTACCATACATATTATTCAATGGGCAAAATTTGTGACCAATGTATTTTAAGAGGATGTATTAACTTAAACTGGAGTGAGAGAAATGGGGTTTAACGTCCACTCGACACAAACTAGGGTCAAATCGGTACTAACATATAGTTCAATTTTATTTCAATAATTTGATTGCATGTTGGGTTCTTTAGCTGTGGTAGGACCCAGAACAAACCCACGATGTTAGACAGTCAACTAAACTCCTTGTCACGCCACTTGACTCAAGGACAGACCTTGTGATTTAACAGGCACGTGTTAAAACATCCGGCCATTCACTCCCAATTAAAGATGGGTTTCCAGAAAAGTATTTATCGGGTGGTTATTTCCTATAAAAGTATGGCAATTTTGGTATGTATGGAAAGTAGAGATATCCAATCTTACTAGAAAAATACTGGATTCCCCGAAAAACACTCATGGAGCGTAAACTGGACAGAAATGTAAGGGTATCCCTAATCAACAGCCCGACGATTAAGAATTTCTGCACGCGTGATGTCAAAGGTCACACGGGAACATTGAGCGCTTGATGTACAAGTTGATAAACTTTATGAAGAGTTAGACGAACAACACTTTCTGCGATAAAAGTGACGGATACAGACGCGGGTAGTGGATAATCCGAGAATTTAATTAGGATTCGATATTTGTAATAAATAGTAAGCGATTAAAGACAACATCGTCTTATGTATGCTATGAATTCTCCTCTGATTTCCAAGACGTGACGTAAACATGACCTGGTTTGATCGGATCGGATTCCTTCGCAATTACAATGTTTGAGAAGGATTTGAAGCATAATTATGACAAATTAATTAGTTTGAATATGTTTTTAGTCAATATATACCATTAAATCACCCAGTTTGTACGCGTGAACCCATCTTTAACATAGCAAAAATCTGATATATGATGATTTACCTGTGCTTGATATCGTAAATCTTTTCTTATTTTCCCTGTTGTAAAATTCCAAACCTCTATAAAACCATCAACAGAGCCTGTTACTAGGTACTGACCATCTGGAGAAAATCTAGCACATTCAATATGAGCTTTCTGACCAAACTAAATATACAAATACATATCTTTCATCATTAAATAAGGCACCAAATACAAAATAAATAGCACAATTGAGTTCCTGGTCAATAACTGGTTATTGGTGAAGATTTGTTTTAAATTGATAAGTTCAACCATTTGGTTTCCTATAGTGAACACACTCTCCAACAGATATTCTCATGGTTTTTTTTACATACAAATAACATAATGTGTCAAGGGGGATAACTCCACTTCTATGTCACATCCGAAAGATTACATTTAGGAGACGATAGCATTGAGAGAGAGAGAGAGAGTTCCTTGTCAATAACTGGTTATTGGTGAAGATTTGTTTGAAATTGATAAGTTCAACCATTTGGTTTCCTATAGCGAACACACTCTCCAACAGATATTCTCATGGTTTTTTTTACATACAAATAACATAATGTCTCAAGGGGGATAACTCCTCTTCTATGTCACATCCAAAAGATCACATTTAGGAGACAATAGCATTGAGAGAGAGAGTTTACCGTCCACTCGACACAAACTATGTCATTTCGGGACTAACACATGGTTTAATTTTATTTCAATAATTCGCCTGCACATAGGGGGTCTTTAGCAGTGCGAGGAAACCGGACGACCTGCAGAAAACCCACGAGGTTGGACAGAGGACCCTACTCCTTGTCACGTACAACCAGGGAATTGAAACCACGACCTTATGATACAGCGCTCACGTGCTAACCATTCGGCCATCCACCCCTCTCTCTGGCATTAAAAAGATATGTAACTCAATCAATGGCCTATTAGTAAATGTATCATCATATCAAATTAGAAACAAATTTTATACCTTAATTGTTTTACTCAGTTGTGTAGGATATTTCTCTTCATCTTGTTCTTTAACAGCAGCTTTACCACGAAATACATCAATTGTTGTACCTAAAAGACCCAATAGTAATAATAAATTGACCAAGTGTACTTCTCATGCAATATTATCTTTTAATTATTTTCAACTTATGAAATGATTATTTTTTCAACTGACGAAATGATTATCTTTTCAATTGATGGAATGATTATTTTTTCAATTGATGAAATGATTATTTTTTCAATTGATGAAATGATTATTTTCAATTTATGAAATGGATATTATTTGCTATTAATGAAATGATTATTTTTAAAATATATAATATTACCGTACCAGGTGGTAATAAACCTTGATGTTGTTGCCATTTTAAAGCTTGACCTAACAAAGCCAACATACGAGAAGGTGGTACAACATTTACTTCACCAGCTAAGGCTTGAGATATAGCAGTACGTCGCTTTTCTTTTGTTTGACCTTCAGGATAAGCCTATAAATATATAAATCAGATATCAAAAAAAATTTTAAAATGGACATGTGAAAGATTATAAAGTTTCAACAATTTCTAACTGGTCAAAATACTCACAAAATCAAACTGGCATAGACATCAAAGAACAAATTACATAGTAAAAATTAGCAAGAACGAAAATCAACAATTAACAACAATGTAGTCTTTGCCAGATGGTTTAAAAATTCTGTTTTTGCAAGGATATCAAATTAGAAACCTGATGGTATAAATACCAAGAACTGTATCAATAAGTTTATTCACTAAAAACTTAAACATCTGTGTTTCCTCAAATCCAGTGACTATATATTTTTCACATATTTGGATGCCAAACTGCCAACTCATCATACTTTTCATGTCAAAGTCTAACAAATAGCCATAATGTACATGTACCAGTAAAATGAGCATTAGAATATGAACATGTAAATATAAAGGAAGTAGTTTCTTTCATACTCTGTTGTAAGTAATATCTGACTCCTATACAATCTCTTCCAGCAACACACAGCGAAAATGGGCTTGAAAAGTATTCTACTCTATTCGACAAACTAGGCTACTTAACCTTATATCTATCAAGGGTATTAAGTATTGTAAGATTTAGATTAAGAGCTGAGATGACAGTTCTTGCTATAACAGTTTAAAAATAGATAATGAAAAATAAATATATTGAAAATTTCAGTCAAATTTCTTCACTCTGGGCGAAGTATTTGGCTGTTTGGAGAATAGCTGAGTCTTGATTGTCATTGCTACTGTTGTTACGATAGTAAACAAAGTCTCGATTATCCATTTTTTAATTAAGTTATTAAATGCTGATCTTGTTTCAATCCTTTGCAAATCGCGAGCATCCGGTGGTGTTTTAGAGAGTTATGGTCTCGTCATGTTTATAAATGTCTAATTATTAATTTATATAACATCTGAGGCTAAAAGAAAGTCCAGAAATAGACAGATTTAGCACTTACATAATGCATCTTTAACTAACATAAAATCTAATTCTAATTGATAATCCAATGATACAACCCTCAAACCAAATATATAGTAACAGATAATTACCTCTCTAGGATCAAAATATGATCTAGCTAACATGTTTTCTAAATGAAGATATCTGTCAGGTTGATTATGTTTCATCATCAGCATAGGATCCGTCTGTCTTAATAAAGATCTAGCCGCTCCCAATTCACGTAACTCTATTAATTCTAAAACAATCTATAAAACAAGTCAAAAATACTATAAGTAAGCAAAACATGATTAAATGAACTATCGTCACTTTTGGTAGATGCCTTCTTTTGAATGAAATAAATAATTTGACAGGCAAAAAAAAATCTTTACCTGAACAGTCCATAAAAGTTGGCACATTATCTTTCTTTTGTAGGTAATGGGAGCACTTACATGTACAAGACATTAAAAACAGATCATGGGCAATAATTTATATTAAATAGGTTTCTTCCCACAGATATTACTACCAAAACATGTACTAGTAATTAGATTACTATTTTTGTTGTTTAACTTCTAAGAAATCGTTGACAGCGATCATCAAAAAATTGAATGATAACTGTATCTTTTAGAGCATCCATAAACAATTTGGTTGCTATATAGAGTCTTGATTTGTTCCAGTAATTTTCAATTGCTTTCTAACCATATTCTGAAAATTATCCTTATGGCGTATGTCATATTCAACAATGATTATCTTGGCCATTATTAAAATAAATGTCAATACCAATTTACAGACATTTGAATATAGATTTTTTCTAATTATGAAATTAAGACCTATGTGTCTTATTTAGCCAGATAGGTAAATGCAATTTTGGACATTTATTGTACTGATACACCAGTATAGTAATCAAAATATGATTAAGAATAAAGATACATACCTGTTCATAAAGATCTATAAGTTTATTGTCAGGTAATTTAAGAGTTTGTATAGCTTGTAGTACTGTATCCCAATGTCCACTGTTAATATCAGAGATAAAGCCATCTACAGAGTCAACAGTATTCAAGGAAATACCACTCTCTTCCTACAAAGAAAAAAAACCCAACACCTGTGTTAATGTTCTATTCTATGTAAATAGAATTAGGTTATATCAACAAAAATAACTTCACTAACATATACCATAGTGAAAAAAAAACAGTTGCCCACTTCGTCTTTTACATTCTTTTTTAGGGTCCAGTACCTCTTTCATCATCAAATAAGCACACTAATAACAAATCTGATTGCTCTTTTCAAAATTAAAAAAATTGCTTATCTCTGTTTACCCTAAGCAGAAAATGCTCATCTTCGAACTCCATCAAGGCATGGACCTAATAAACACGTACACGAAGTTTGAACATTGTAGCTCAATTGGAAGGAGAGTTATTGTGTCCCAAAAAGTGTGACTGACAGACAGACCGACGGACGGCAAACAGACAGACGAACCCATTTTAATAGTCCCCTGCTTTCTTCAAAAGGCGGGGAACAATTATTAAATAGTGATTGTGTTTCAATCCATTAATATCATGACCATCCGATAGTCTAGAGAGTTGATTATGGGCTTGTCAAATGAAATATACTGTCTTACTTGTAATATTGATAATGTTTTCAACAGGTTGTTTTCTTTTAAATACTGTTCAATTAACCTCACAACACTAGAAAAAAAGAACATAAAAAACAAACATATTAATAAATTACATGTATTTACCGTTAGTTAAAATGATATTTTGTTAAAAAATTTTATTACACTTTTAAATTGTTTTTTTATGTCATAAGGTAACATTTAGATTTCATGTGCGTCCAAATTGGCAGACTTTGATATATAGCTGTCAATACCTGTATTAGTATTAATTAACAGGAGCTATCAGAGGCTGGATTATTGAATCTACATGTAAGACCTTCCACAAGAAAGAATTGGTAGAACAAGGGTTTTTGTGGGTTACACGTATGTTCAAGATGTCGGGATATCTCTTAGAAATGATACTGATCAAAAATAAAAAGTTCTATTTTCTGTAACAAAAATAAATGTAATGGGAGGTAATCATGTATCGACAGGATACCCAATCCAATACTACCCAATATTAAATAAATAAATACTACCACAGACTACCTCATTATTGTGAAAAACTAACAAAATGTTTGAATTATACAAAACAAACTGGAAAAGTCTTTTAATTTATAGTTTCAGTACCCACAAATAAAAAAAGACCAAATTATGACAGAATATCCAGAAAAGACCCTGAAAGATGATAAAAGAAATGGAAGATTTACCATACGGTACCTAGAAAAGCTGAAAAGATTCATTTACCATCATACAGACTGGAGATCAACGTCACGATAGAGGTATTCAGAATACTGACATGAAAAGATAATATTGTGAATACTAGTATGTTGGAAATATAAGAAGATTGGAGAACCAGAGGCCACGAAAAGAAACTAATAAATCAACAATCAAATATTGAAGTGAGGAAAAACTCTTTTGCTATCATCAGAGTAGTAAACCATTGGAATTCTCTACTAAATTATGTTGATACTTCTAACTTATCGTTAAATAAACTGTTAAAAACACTTACATGACAGAATAGTGTCATGTACAGGTGCGACGTTGTGTTTGACATTCAATTTTATACGGATATATTAGAATTAGAATTCTAAAAGGCAGGATCATTGGTCTTTATATTAAATTTAAAGCATAATTAAATTTCAGACGTATTTAATCATGTTTGTCTACCTAGTGTACATGGATAATGTGTGACATGGAAAATTATAAATGAAATGGGGTTTAACGTCCTACTGAAAATTGTAAATGACAGGTTACTTACTGAAGCGACTTTTCGAGGCCTGCCTGATTAAACTCAATATTTATTTGTTTGATGTAAATACTTTTAAAACCAACGATTGCCAGTCAAGATATGCTCACATTTTGTAGGAGATGGATAGAGAACAAGCTAAAAACAAAAGCGATTTTTCGTACAATCAAAGGCCATAATCCAGAAAGTTATGGTCTGAAATGCGCAAATATCAAAAGGGACTGAGATATTTGGGATAGAAAGATTAGATATATATTAAGTTTCATCAAAATCGGATAAAAAATTGTGACTTCTACTAGAGGGTCAACAACCTTGATATACCATATTTTTTCACTATTTGCATATGAGGGGTAGGCCATTTTGGTCCGATTTTCACAAAATTCAAACTCAACCGACATTACGATGTAACAGTGATATATTCAAACGTTTTTTTAAATCAAATAATAATTATCACCAGTTGTCACCAAGCTAAAAACACGATTTTTCGTACAATCAGGGGCCATAATTCAGGAAGTTATGATCCGATATGCGCGAATATCGAAAGGAACCAAGATCTTTGGGTTTTAAACAAGCATTTCAAGTTTCATCGAAATTGGATGAAAATTGTGACCTCTAGAGTGTCCACAAGCTAAAAACATGATTTTTCGTACAATCAGGGGCCATAATCAGATACATGCCAATATCAAAAGAAACTGTGATCTTTGGGAGATAGACCTATATTTCAATTTTCGTCAAAATCGGATAAAAATTGTGACCTGTAGAGTGTCCACAAACAAATTGTGGACGGATGTCTGGACGGACAGGGGCGACGGCATAATACATCCACATGAAAATGTGGCCGTATAAAAATTAAAAAAAAGCATTAAAAAATATGCACATATTTATGGAAAATCGTGTGAGAAGCTCGATACAACTGTGTACGTCATCAATGGAACATTTGGAAAACTGTTCTGACTGGATCTATTTTCTTTCTTTTTCACAAGCTTTTATTTTATTAGTGGGATGGAACTGTCCGGGGTGAAACGGTCGTAGGATGAAAAGCCCCGCTTCCCATCACTTTAATTTTTACCGTAGATTGTAAGTATAATGTTATTTTTTTTTTACAATACATGTATATAGATAGAACCCAATGACCATTGAATACCGCTCAGGTTATTCAATGGTTCAAGAGAGTGCATTGAGTTCTGGTTTTATTCTATAACTACATGAAAATCTCGAAATACACTGTACTATCCAGATTATCAACAAAAAAAAAAATCACCAATAACTTTAGAATTCATCATAGGTTCCTTCCGTTTTTCTTACTTTTTTACAAAAATTGTAGTTGCCTAGTGTAATTCTGAAATTGACGTCATTCTGTACAAAAGTAGTACGTTTTCAAGCCATTGAATACAACCATAGGTTATTCGATGGCTGTATTCAATGGCTGTATTCAATAATATTTGCTTGTATTTGCATGTACATGTAGTTATAGAATAAAGAGGTAGGTGGTATTTAGTTAGTATTGGGTATTGCCACTATTTGGTAAAACGTTCTGCCTGCCAATCAGTACTACAGTGGCTGATTTAGGACACACACAAAAAAAAATAACATCTCGAGCGCTCGAGATAATTAAGGACCTGTGGGAGGGTTGAATGTAGAAATCCGGCACGATCATGCCACTTGCACCACGGTAAATTAGGCAATGATCAGTTCCTACATATGAAATAAATATTCTTCGATCAGACCTGAGCTTCTAGTTAAGAAGAAATGTTAGTCTCTCCTAGCGGGATGTAGTCGTAACGGCCCAATGCCATAACGGCCAAAAACAGGTTTGGTCAAAATGGCCCTACTTTAGTCATAACGGCCAACCTCGATATACAATTATTGATTCGTATAACAACGTGCGATATACTCCCCACATGGAAGGGGGTAAATAATATAACTGGGAATATTTAGTGGTGGTGATGAGCATGGGATGGAGTGTGTGTGTGTGTGTGTGTGTGTGGGTGGGTGGGGGGTGTATCTGCTCCGTCACTGCAGTTTGGGATGGGCTGTAAAAACAAACAAATGAATATCTTTATTCTGCAAGTTTATCACAAGGCCTAAATAGTAAATAATGCACAAAATTATACAGCTTAAAACATTGGTTGCAACGTATTCGATTGTATTATCTCAAGTGCTCAACTTACATGTAACCATCTCGAGCGCTTGACTTAATATCGCAAGTGCTCGAGATATTTTCTCGAGCGCTCGACTTAAAGGAGCTAAGTCGCTAATATTTGGGACCTAGAAATTGACACAAATGGGTCGCAACGCATACAATAATGTAATCTGAATGTATATAAATTGATTTACATTCAATCGTTTGTTTTTACTGTAATTTCTAATCAGTTAGGTTCGGCGAAATACGCCAGTATTCTCAATCCGATTTCAATCTCTAGCATCTGGTTATTCCAGTCTAATCCGATAGTGTGTGAAACACTATTGTTTTTGTTAAAATTATTATTCTTATTATTATTATTCTTCTTTTGTTTTGAGTAGATCGTTGTCGGATCGTTACGATTTCTTCGGTTTTATCGGAAAAGTGGGTGTGACTTAGAGGATAAAGCTATTTTGAACGTTCTGCGACAATGCGAAATGTCCGAAATCACCGAAGCTATCGTTTTTAGAAATATTGCAGTAATTTTAACAATAATCATTGGATTTTAACTTTCGATGCATTTTGGCATAGCCGGAGACGGGGCACATAGCTACGCTACTTTTGATTTTTGATTTTCGGCAAATCTTCGCAGATATTAGGCGCTAAATTTAGAAAATTTAAATTTTTACAAAAAACTTTTTTATTTATGAATATTTTTTAGTCGTGTTTTACACAAATATAACGAGTCCTCTGACTTGGGCAAAAATGTGAAAAAAATTTGTCTCGGTAATTTTCCTTGGCCCCCATTTGCTAATTCAGTTTTTCAGTCCTAGATTAATTATTTATTGTTCAATTTGTATAAAACAAAGTTCATATGCTCCGTTGTCTCAATTGTCTTTTTTTTTGTTACCAATAGTGTTATCTGTCGGCACCGGAAGTGGCGTAAATTGACAAAAAACTACAATTTTGACAGTTAGGTACCATTTTTCGAAAGCAAATATTATTTTTTTCAAATCTGGTATAACTGAAATTGTGCGCCCTTTAAAGGCGTACAAAATGTTGGGACCAGTTTTTTTAATTTCGATTCCGTTTTCGGGCTATTTCGATTAAAAGGTGAAAAAAGGTGTAAAATTAAGCTATTTACAACCCATCCAGCGTTTTCATATTTTAAAATATTACTTCGAAACTTTCATAAACTCCTAGCAATAATCTATACGGAGAGAATGTATTTGAAAATTAATTTGTTATATGCGCAGTTGCCGAGAAATGGGCAATTATGCATGAGTCACTTTTTACGCTAGTTTGCCTGTAAAAGAGTCAATTATTATTCGATGTTCATAAAAGTGACACCATTTGATGTGTAATGTCAATTTTAACTAGGTCAAACCAATTTAACATTTTCAATATCACCGGAAATGACGTAATTTGGGCAAAAATTGTATTTATAGCCTTCGAAACCAGTAATTTATTCAAATGAGTCATATTTGTTATTTGTTTAAAATTTTGATATTTGATTCAAATCAACTAATACAATGAACCCTTACGATCATATAGATATCACAAAATAGTTTCTAACTTGTTCAGTTGCGGAGAAATAGGCAATTTTCAACAGGTCACTTTTTAAGGTTTTTTGTCAATAAAAGTGTCAATTATTATTCGATTTTCATGAAATTTTCACTGTGTGATACATAATGCCATTTACGATTTCATACAAGTAATTTAA